TATTTGTAAATATTTTAGCAAAATTATGAACACTTTTTGAATTCTCAAGAAATGAAATTCATGAACATTTTTTCAACATCCGAGCTTTTTCTTGATCTACCAACATGTTAGGAACATCTTTCCAAAATTCACATTTTTTTTAGAAACCAGAATTATTTTAAGGAAGAAAAATAAAACAGTAAAAAGAAAGAGCAAAAATACAAAATTAAAAAAGGGGGGCCGTCCCGGCCCGCTCAAGGGCTCACTTAATAGGGGTGCACGGGAGGGGACGGCGTGCACGCTGGCTCGCTCGCCAACGCATGACGTGTGGTATAGGAGGTCCAAAAAGAGACGAGGGATCACTCGAGAACCTCGATCTGGTGGGACCGCAACTTATTTATGCCTCATTCGGTTTGGAGGATTTTCGTAGGAAAAATATAGGAACAAGGATTCCGTAGGAAAATTCCTACATATACATTCGGTTTGTAGGAAATGCGTACATGATTTTCATAGGAATACTACTCATTTTCTGTGTTTTTTAAGGAAACTACACATCCACTTAAAGCTCATTTTGCGCGTAGGAACGAGGCAAGTCAATTCCTTAGGATGGCAAATGCTATCCTATCAAATTCCTGTATTACTCATAATTCCTATGTTTTGATTTCCTCCAAACCGAATGAGCCCTTAAGGAGCTAGCACCATCCATCATCTCCCATTCACCGCCACCATGCGGGAAGAATAGAAGATGCTGTTAAGCCCTCTATTCGTGCCTAGCAGTAGGGGTAGATTATCGAGCAGCTCGACTCGTTAAGCTCGTGCTCGTTAAGGCTCGGCTCATTTAGCTTGCTAAGATTAACGAGCAGAAAACTCTGCTCAGCTCGGTTCATTCGAAGCTCGTTAAGCTCGTGATCGCTCACGAGCGCTCCTTAAGCTCGTGATTCACGAGCGCTCGTTAACAGATTATAATGTGTTACGGTCTATAGGATGAATGCGTAAGTGTGGTTTTCAAGATGAAATATGGTGACTACAAAAAGAAATGCACTATTTTGTTGTCTTCTATGTCGATTAGATTGAATAGATGGGTTGAGGTGCTACAAAAAGTTCGTTACGTAAGATGAAAATATGTGTTGTGTTGTTACTAAGAAGCTTAACGTGCAACTCGTGAAATTCGTTAGCTCATTCGTTAAGCTCATTAAGCTTAACGATCTGAAATCAATGATTGAATCTGTTCATTAAGAAGCGAGCTAGAAGCATAACAAGCCGAACTATCGAGCGCTCATTAAGCTCGTGAGCTACGAGCTTTTGGTCCAACCCTACCTAGCAGGCTAGGCTTGACAAGGCCACCAAGCCCTCTATGCTAGCCTTGGAGGGTAGGCATGATAAGGCTGCCAAGACCGCTTCATTTTTGCGGCTCGTCCGCAAGCTCGAGGGTAGGCATGATAAGGCTGCCAAGACCGCTTCATTTTTGCGGCACGGACGAAGCAGGCACCTCCATGACTTCACCTTCTTTTAGCACAATACAAAATACCCATACATACACACCTACACTCATTCATGTAAATACACGCACGTGTACCTTACTCGTATGAGAGACTGAGCTGAATGTCCCCACCCACTGAATGCACATCACGGTAAGGCATCCAGAAAAATACAACCATCAATATCAAGTCTAAGATTTGAACCCTGGTGGGTTGGTTCCACCACGAGAAACCTAAGCATCTAAGCTACGCTTAGTTCGCTGCATGACTGCATCCTGATAACAACAACATCATATTGGGTTTCTACAATGCCAGCATTCACAACATGCTGAACAACCTCACTGTTGGCTACACCCAGCTCGTCTACGTACGTTTTGAACAACTACTAGGTCAGAAAGACGGCGGCGTAAGGCCGTGGCAAACCCAAGAATATAATAGAGGTTAGGCAAACTCTAAAAATATATACTACCTATTACAATTGTCATACAACATATGGAAAAATAGCTCAATTCAAGGCTCACAACAACTTAGTTCAACAAGAAATATATTTCAAATGTGCTCAATTATAATAAGAATAGTCTTACATGAAAGAAACACAAGTAGAATATTATAACACTAGGTATCTCTACATTGTTGCATTGCCGTGAAAGCATCAATTATGTCATGTTGACTTACTTTCAAGAACACATCTCGTTTCATAAATGTCACTAAGCAATCATTCAAGCAATCATCATTCATACTAGTCCTTAACTCACTTTTCACTAGATTCATTGCCCAAAATACTCTTTCAACACCGGAGTGTCTATCTACAAGCAGTTTCCAGTAGTGTGACAGCCGACATAGATTTGTGTGGAGCCTTGTGCCTAACGGCTTGGTTTACTTTTGTCCAAACATTTACCACTCACAAGTCAAGCTATTTCATAGGCTCCGTGTTCACCAGTCATTTGCACAAAATAACCATCTAATGTGTTGGCATGTCCCATCGTAGAGTGAGTTGTTCTGTCTTTTGGTTTTCGTTTCTATTTTTTCCTTTCTTATCTACCTGTTTTATGATTTTATCAATTTTGTTATTATATATGTTTACTTCAATCTATTAGTTGTTTTCACGTGTTACACATGTCATCAATTAATTAATTTCTATGTTAATACTTGTAGAATTGTTCAAAGCGTTAATTTTTCTTTTTGTTAGAAACTTTCAATCTATTCATCTTCAATCGTGAAAGTACAAAGAATATGAGGTAATAAAAATTACAACCAGGTCCGTGGACCACCTATCGACTACTACAAGCACTAGAGCGAGCCGAAAGCGCACCACAATGATCGCCCATCCCTCGTCGGAGTCAGGCAAACCTTGTTGCAATAGACAGTCGGGAAGTCTTCGTGCTAAGGCCCCACGACACCAATGCACCAAAGCAGCAATCATCGCTGATGAAGAAAGTCATAGATTGGAAGGATCAAACCTGTAAACTTCCAGTCAAAAACGAACAAAGGCCGGATCCAAACAGATCCGCCGACGACCGAATCCCACGAGATCTGACAAAGACCGCCTTCACACTCCCTCCGACGATGCTAGACTCACCATGAGGACGGGGATAGAACCTGAGAGACATTATTCCTACTGAAGGACATCGCCACCGCCACACAGCCCCAACGAAGATGTTCAACCTAACGAGAAACAAGAACTCCCGCCGGCCGGAGGGGGGTGGGCGAGGTCCTTCTCACCTCCATGGCCCAAAGGACCGGACTGGCGCCAGCGCCAACGGGAGAAGGAAGAAAGGCTGAGATCTTTTCTTGTGGGGGAGGAACGTGAGGCTATACATTAGCATATATATAATTTTAACATCATGATCGCTTACAACTCCCTCAGTTCCAAATTGTAATGTGTGTGCCTGATTAAGAATCTCCTCAAACAAACAGATTTTACGCTAACCAATATGTTCTTTGTTGTAATAGTATAAGTTGTTATAGTTCCATCCAAAATACTATCTTCATTCCAAATTACTGGACTTCCTAGAATAAGTGTAGTGCAAGCTTTTTCAACATTGCCTATAAATATACGAAAACATATTTGTATGTGTCATTTGAAGATAAATTGACTACATTTGTAATGGATAATATCTTCATGGCATAATTTTTAATAACTTTCTACCTACCTATATCAATTTGGGAACAAACAGAGTGAACAATTAATTCTACAATGATTTAAACCAGTATTTTTCTGAAACATGAAAAATGTGTTGGTCAGCTGGCGGCATGAGCTAGAGAAAATTAAATGTTATATGATGCTAGTTATTAATTAGTTTTTGTCAGCGGTGACGTATACAACGCGGAAGAAAAGGGAGAAGCAACATGTGTTTGGATGGAATTGTATCTCTGATTCCCAAGGGATCGTAGCTTAGGTTTGATCCCCGCAAAAAAAAAAAAACTTAGGTTTGACGTTGGTGGAAAGGCGCTTCTGGTTAGTTCATGTTAATCTTTAAAAAGCCACGGCTATGGTCTTCAGTAGACGTCGTGTTAGTGCGTGCGCGTGTCATGGTGGTAGACATGCCTATGTAACGTCTATGTCATACTCTGTGTTTCTAAAGTATATAAAGAAAAAGATGAAAAGCAATGGGACAGATGCGGAGACGGAGACTGATGCACAGTGCCAGCCCGCCATGGGCTATGGGCCGGCCCTGATGTAGACATGCCTATGTACATCTACATTGTACCTTTGTGTTTCTGATATAAAGGAAAGAAAAAGACGAAAGCAATGGGACATATCACATCTACGGAGACGGACACCCATGGTTAGAATGAGCAAGGAATTGCCGGAGACAGAGCCAAACAGCACTCCGGCGTCTTTCACCATGGAATGGGTAAGGAATGACGGGGACATGTCCGATTTTGGGGTTGCTACATTTTACCATGGAACAAAGGGGAAAGGGACTGCTGCACTTTGCTCTAGCATGGAAACCAAACCGGCCGGCAAGAGCATCTGCATCTCCATCATCTTTCCAAAAGAAAAAGAAAGCAAAAACAAAGCAGCAGCTAGCATACATGCATACGTCGCTTCATGCATATATGCTTTGGCAAAGAGAAAACATGGCATGCAACCACAAGCAAAGGACCCCTCCTCTATGTAGCCAGTATTCATTCGTGCACTCTTTCGTTACAAAATATAGGAGGAGCCAATCTGTTCCACTCCCTTCTCAACCGGCTCTCGCATACCATCGGTGAATTAGGATTGCCATTGATTAGCAGTGACAAGTTCTTCGCTTCTGTTTTGTCAAGCTGCTCTTGTCTGCTATCAAGGTCAAACTTCTGCCATATCAAACCTTCCTTGGCATGTTCCATGGTTAACAAACGTAACATGCTAGCAGTTGTTGTGTATGCAGGCGGTACGTGTGGCAAGAGAGATCTTGGACTGATGGGTTAGACTGATTGGATCTGCTGCGGCTTTCCTCTCTGGTCTTTGAAAGAGGAATCAATATGTTCATCATGAGTGCTGATCAGTTTATGATTGGTTAAATTTTCTGCTGGTTTTCTCTCTTGGTCTTCGATATGGACGAGGAATCCAGCATGGGCCCTCCTGAAAATGAGCTGGTAATTCTCTTGTGCATTTTATACGTTCACAAAGTAGTACGTACATGCATGCAGTGGTGTTCTCACTGAGATTGTAAGAGACATTCTGGGTTACGAGATTGTGAAAATGGCCATGGCACGCTAACACACAACTATATATAGTAGTGGGCATGTCAAATCTCTCTGCTAAAGGACTAGCTAGATACGCCAGAAGGTCCTAGATCAAATAGAATACTTCCTCCGACCCATAATGTAAAACGTTTTTTGAAGCTACACTGGTGTAAAATTTGGT